TTAAACTCCGATATCTAACCTCGCCAAATCATGCAATGTTTAAACCCCAATATTTAACCCCACCAAATCATGCCATGTCTAAACCCCAATATTTAACCCCACCAAATCATGCAATGTCTAAACCCTGATATCTAACCTCGCTAAATCATGCCATGTCTAAACCTCAATATCTAACCTCGCCAAATCATGCTATGTCTACCCTCTGATATCTAACTCCACCATATCATGCAATGTCTTAACGCCGATATCTGACCTCGCCAAATCATGCAGTCCATTCCCATTCTCCTTTTTATCACTGAATTTTGCAATGAGCTGAATAATTCAGAACACCATGGTGTTCAATTAACTGCTGATTTAATTGAATTATTCTGTCTTATATTTGCTGATGACATTGCAATTGTATCAGATTCAGTTGTCGGGCTCCAGAGGTTACTAGATAAATTGGAATTGTATTGTGGGCGCTGGAGTATGTCTGTAAATTTGCAATATCCAAATCCCCATATCTAACCTCACCAAATCATGCAATGTTCGTTCACTGACTTGCAATCTCGTGGCCAAATTAATATTCACATGTCGTAGTCCCCTTTAATAATGATAGTTTGTTTATAACAAATTGGCCAATTTCAAAATGCCATAAATAATTTCATGATATTGTTGAGTAAATTGTGCCCATCGTGTGTAGTTGACGAAATATTAAATAGAACAGATGATGTGCAAATACAAACGAGGATGCAATTATTGGGTGTATGCTGCATGTATGATGCGAGTCTGGAATGACGCGTAATATACAAGGATTGATTCAACATTGTACAGTTATATAAAATCGAATCGAATGTCGTACAGCATCCACATGTCACGTTAGGTAGTACAGCATCCACATGTCACGTTAGGCTGTTTTCTACTAGAATCTAGTTTCAGGATATTTCAATTGTGATAGTATTCAACCAAGGTCATCAGACGCACAGAAAAAAAACGCACTATTATTTCTGCATTATTATCACCGTTACTAACATTCGTCTTTATATTATATCTGTTCTTTGGGAATGAGGAAATGAGATCGATGAAAGAAACATGAACAGTTTAATGCATCATTTAAATGTACAGGAGTGCCAAATGTAATGTGCGTTACTTAATCGTGAAGTAACAGATTAATATGTATGTATATGTATAAGTGATGTAGCAATCACCAATTCTTCATGATGTGATTTGTTCAAGGTCTTGCTATTGTCACACATAACCAGTCTGCCTTGTGGACCGATGGTAGATACTATCTGCAAGCTGAACAACAACTCGATTGTAATTGGATACTCATGAAATCAAGTAAGTACAAAAAAATTATCAATTGCCCGGGAATTGTGCGTGAATCATGAAAAATTGGATATACATGACGTCGCTTCTAATTGTAAATTTGCATATTATCCATAATAATGTTTTATGTTATTATTTTTGACACAGGTGAGGCGGAAACACAAAAGCCATGGGACTGGCTGATAGACGTCTTACCGTCCGGAACAATACAGGAGCCTATCCTAGTTGCCTTTGATCCAACGCTAATTTCAATTAGTATGTCATTTAACACAGTATTTGCATACTTTGAGTGATTCATTGAATTGATCGTAACCTACTTACGCAATACTGGTTAAAAAAATAAGAACAAAATAAGTACTGTAAAGACTAATTAGTGATTGTGAATGTCCATGTAGAAACACAATCTACCACTCTGTGTATAAACGTTTAGATTTGTTTATTGTTTAAGTATTTCGATATGATGTCATCTATAAACAACTATTATGTCTCAGTTTCTTAAAATTTTTACACTTATGCTTATTTTATCGGACACCGTTACACTTAAGAGGGCGCATGTGCAAGTTATATGGGTCTCATATAAACAAAGATGGCGACTTTGACTGTTGTGCAGTACAAACTGAGACGTTGCCAAGCTTTAATTAGGTATTTTTTGGTGATTGTAAGGTATCGAAGAAGTCAACGGCGGTAATTAGTGCAAGTCGCCCCAGGTCAAACCTTATACTTGTGATTTCCATTAGAGAACGTATTGGATTGTGGGAAAATCAATGTTTATCAACACAAATATCGCACGTGCGCAGCACGACGACCACCGCGCATAAGTAAACCAACCAACAGACACATACTGACAAAGTTGACATTTCATTGCAATTATGGTTACCATTCGATACAAAATCTAAAAACAAACTTGTTTTGCAGGCGCCTATAACAAATACAATAAAGCGTTTAAATCGACACAGTCCGCTGGAGTGTACATAGAGATGTATTCTCATGAACAGAATCTCATTGATATAATATGGAATGATCGGCCAGATTGTCCGAATGAACCTCTGTTTGCTTTGGATATTAAATGGACAGGTGAGTTAACAATGTTGATAGTTTAAACTAGAACGTGATGTCATGAACTCTAGATAAATGTTAAGATGGCACGATTGTAGTTGCTGTTATTTCTTTTGTGAATCATAGGGTAGTAACACGACTGAGGCCAGATTACGGAAACACTTGATAGAAACCACAATGAACGATGCACGTAAAAATATTCACAATCACTTGTATACATACATGTTGGTGTGTACGCGTTGAAAGTGTTGATGAAATGAACTTAATATTTGCCTAATGCCTATTTTAAGGTGAAGAATGGTACGACAAAGTCATAGATCACAGAGAAGAAATGAAGAAGGTAGGAGCTGATATAATGGTGTTGCACGCTCTGGACGACACAGCATGTAAGCGGTTAATTAATTGCGTTGTATATTAAACACGTGTAAGCGTTGTTTTGGGTATTGTGACCATTCAATGTGTCAATCATATCTGCACACATGTGTGTTTGATTTAAATTTGTAAACGGGTGATATAATTGTGGGCCATATATTGATTTTTTTTCCTGCAGGGTTTTTCAACCTACGGGGCATGGACATACCATATAACCCAGTATTCTTTGGCTATACCATAATAGAAATGGAGAAAACCACGTAAGTGAAACACTCTTTCAACACGAATTTGAATAGTTATTTGAATAGTTATTAACGCGGTGTATACACATTGGATATGCAACTCCCACAGGCATTACATACGTCATACAGTATTTAAAATATGATTATATTGGTCTTGTTCGTGACTCTTGACAATATTTTAGGACGCCATTATTATATCAGTCGTTGCTACTATAAGATAGCATAGCATAATAATATTCTATCTAGACGTGTAAAAATAACATTTTTATATGACTTTCTTAATATTTGTACTCTAGCTTGTTTGTTAAAAATGTGGAAAAGCTAATTGTGGACGATATCCATAGTCATCTATTGCAAGACAAGAATGATCAGAGTGCAGGCTGTGCTAATATTGACAACAATCACAAATGTCTGCATATTCTGGAATATGATATCTTTCTACCAACGCTGAATAATAAGTCTAACGAAAGTGACTTCACGAAAGTTTGGATAAGTACGACAGCTAGTTATGGTATCTACGGAAATGTTCCCACGGTATGTTGATGTTTACATTGCACTGATGTGAGCAGTCGCGTATCGTTGTAATATCATAATGATTCAATTAATGCCTCTTTCTTAATTCTGTTGCAACATACGTTTACTATTCAGAATGAATACAACGATAATTACAAATTTTGCTATGTGTTATAGCTGTCATCAGTCACGATTTTTGTATGTTGTGTTTGTAGATGAGACAATATTCGGCAGCAGTTCCAACCCAACTCATGAAAGCCCAAAAGAATAAAAATGAAATCGAAGGAATGCGTGAAGGCAACGTGAGTATTTTGTACAAATAAGGCACTATTCAAATGAGATATTGTCGGTGAATTAGTGCTTACATGTATACTGACAACTATTTGGCTAAACGAATATTTTAGATGTACACACTGCCATGTATAAGAAATTAACTAGTGGGATTTTCAGTCGATTAAAAAACTATACTTTCAGTCATTTTTCTGTGAAGATGATTTTTGTTATATATAATTGGTACTTCGTAGTTTAATTCTGTGACGAAATTAAGAGGTGTTAAATAAATAATAATGTTCACACGTCATTTGATCCCACGCTCTAATTACAAACCGACCTTGTCATTAGTGGCCTGCTCACCAAAGTCAATTCACATTTCTCAAGCGAGCACGTTTGTTCAAATTTATTTTGAATATTTGTTTCTTCTGACGACTGTTCGCTCTATTCAGTATATTGTAGTAACCGATGTTTATTATGTATTTACTCAGATCCAAGACGCTGTGGCCATGATTGAGTGGATGCATTGGATGGAAGGCGCTGTTGTAAACGCTGCTGGTGATATTGACAAGTTAAGCGAGATCTCCGCTGATAAGAAAGTACAAGAATTCAGAAGGTATGCGTTATACACCAAATCTACGCTGTGGGTTCTACTATAGCTGTACTGAGTGAAATCAGTACACATATTACTTTCAATAGTAAACAGCAATAGTAAATTAATAATTGTTTCTGGCTTTGCAAAATAAATGTCTTCATAATACTAATTGTATATACATAACGGGAATTACACACATGTACATTTTTTCTACACACTACATCTTTAGGGGATTGTATGCATTGTTATAATGTCATTTATACTTTCAGGAAACAGCCAGACTTTGTTATGCCAAGTTTCGGTGCAATTTCTGCATTTGGGCCTAATGGTGCCGTGATTCATTACTCGTAAGTGGTGTTTATATGTTATCAAGCAGTGTGTTTATATTGTACAATGTTTTTAAACATCTAGTAACGAAAACAATAGAATTTCCCGTTTTGTAAAAAGCCTTATTATTGTTTTAAATATTCAAACCACATCGCTTCATATGTTTTGAGTCAGTGTTAGTTTTGTACCCCAAAGTTTGTTTTTGGGAGCCGAGATAAAAAAATAAATATAAATGGTACACAAAGCGCAACTCACAATCCATACATGTTCAAATTTACTCAGTACTTTCTGAAAACACAGAGAGCGTTCGCTAGTTTAAGCTCTAGTTTAAGTCAGTATTTTATCAAATAATCTCGTATAATGTTTTAAAGTAATGCACACAATCAAATTTGCGTATTATGCGTTCTATATACATAACGAGTAAGCGCATACCGAAATATGGACATTGGTAACCTCTGAATATCTGCATTGAACCATGGTTACCAACCGCCATTTAAACGTTTGAATTTTGCCTTACTTTAGGTAAAATACGTCGTCAACATAGACGCTTTAAAAACTATCAACATTTCATTTGAACATTTTCTTTTGTTCACTTCAGGAAGTAAACAGGGGGGAGTTGTATCACCTGATTTTATTTTTCCGTTGCTATGCAAGCGAAAATCTTCTAAAAACCAACTCTTTCCATTTTATACTTTGAGAAAATTCAAAATTGGTTAAATCCAATTTTTTCATCAATAAAATTGTTCAGTCATGGTTATATGAATATTTTGAACTAAGTGAAATTGACACAATAAATGAATACACAAAACCCAAAAGTAAAAGTGTTAGTTTAAAATGTGTGAAACAATGGATTTTAAGCAATGTACACGGCGCTATAGGAACGCCACAGCTATAGGGCCCTGGAACGCCACAGCTATAGGGCCCTGGAACGCCACAGCTATCTTAAATCACATATTGTGATGTGACAAAATGCATGCCTTACAAGAATATCATGTACGTAAGCTAGGAACAATTATAACATGAAATGTGGCTCTATTTAAATGGGTAAAAACACTTTGTAATTAAATTGTGCATTTATCATAGTCTGCGATAGTTTCTTAATAATTCTAGCAATTAGTGCTTCGCGTTACATATATGTTGCTGACTATATAAAATATGTAAATTTCCCATTTGAAGTAACGTGGTCATCATCATGCTATGTTGCAGATCAACCCCGGACACTAATGTAGCCATCACTGACAATAACATGTACTTGCTGGATTCTGGTGGCCAATACAGGTAAGGCTAGTGAATGTGATAATAATATTTACACTCAGCAGAGCATCGCGACCGCTAACACGGTTGTTTATATGATATTTTAAATTATGTATTATGAAGGCATCAATATCGTCACGATGAAATAAAGCCATGCCCTCCTCACCATCTATATTATTGTGCAATATCCTGCGGTATACCTATCACATCGGCAGTTGGTTATTAAAAAATACATACTGATATTTTACATGATAGATGTGGTGCCACAACTGACATCACGCGAACAATGCATTACGGAGAACCAGAAGCCCGTCACAGGGTAAGTCAATGTGCATACATACGTCTTGGTTAAAATTTAAAAAAAATTACGACATTAGCAATTTAATAGCCATGTGCATGTTATTTATAAATTTGACCAAATAAGCCACGAGTGTCATTAATTCATTCAACTGCACATTGCATATGGAATATTTCATACATGTTGAATAAAACTACGTTTGTGTTCCAGGAAGCCTACACACGTGTTCTACAAGGTGCCATTGATCTCTCGAGAAGCATCTTCCCAGAAGGCACCTGGGGTAAGTCAAACATTTAAATGTTTTAGTGCTGGATACATTTGAAAGAGTTTAAGGACAGACTAATCTTTTAGTAATGTCTCAATAGAAACCCAATAACTATTACACATCACCATGCCCTAAGTACCAACTGAAGGTGCACAGCTAAGTAGCTAATTACACAGAAAAACACATAAAAATATATATATTCATAAAACGTGTATAACAAGCACAACTTCGGGCCGTATACTGTATACCTTATAATATACACCTGTATTCGCTGTCGACTTAATCAAACACAACGGGGCGTGCTCTGGCCTTTTCAACGAAGCCAAGACGGCCACGGAAGGTCAGCTTCAATATTGTATCAATAGTATCAATCAATCACTTCCACAAACAAAAACAACTTGAATAATATAAAATTCAAATTAACCACTTAGCTAAGCGTGTATATAATCAATATTTCGAACAACAGGGTGTATAAGAATCACGCTAAACTTGACTTCCAAGATTGTTCCTGCAGTACGCAATCAGAAACACAGTTTCCTGTTGAACGCTTAGCAAAATGTCTCTATCACTTTATGTGGTTTTACATAACACACAATATTCACAGACAGTATCAGAGTCTGTATATTACGTCAAAGTTCACCACAACAAATCAATGTCGCATTTCATACATGCGATATGGATATAACATGTCAACACTTTTTACACTCGATATGAGAAACTGATTTGCCTATTGATTCAAATTGAGACTTGTGTACGATATTAATACGGACCTGATAAAACCATGTACTATTATACTATATGTGGGAAACTAACACAGCGACACGGCTGACGTTTCACTGACGCTTTACACAGAAGAATTGCACAAACGCAGATTGAATGTCACAAAACACATGCACTAATAATCCAGCTAAATAGCTACAAAACACTCAGTTTTCATTCCGATAAGACTAGCAAGTAGTTAAAGCAATAGTGCCAAACTAAGTAGTTCATAAACATTGACGTGCATCGTGCCCCCTCCCTGCCAAGCTACTTGCGCAAAGATTGACGTGCATCGTGGCCCCTCCATGACAAGCTGCTTGCGTAAACATTGACGTGCATCGTGCCCCTCCTTGACAAGCTACTTGCGTAAACGTTGACGTGCATCGTGCCCCCTCCCTGACTAGCTAATTGCTTAAACATTGACGTGCATCGTGTATCCTCCCCGACAAGCTACTAGCGTAAACATTGACGTGCATCGTGTCCATCCCTGGCAAGCTATTGCGTAAACGTTGACGTGCATCGTGT